AAGTTTCAACCAAGAAAGAAAAGAAAACCGAAAAACAAATGTCTCTTGTTTGGTTTGAGAAAATATTTTTGTTTATTATTTCGTATTTTCATTAATAATTACAAAAATATCACTTGATTTTCTCTTTGTATAGAATAGTGAAATAAAAGAAAGCCTTTGAAATTAGAAACTTAGTGAATATAAAATGATACTTCTTTCATTAATGAACATAGGAAACATTTTCTGAAACCAAACAATTAACCAGGTGACAATTGACTTATTCTTTTTTTGCGTTCATTTTGAATTTCTATGTTTTGATTTTAATTACAGAAAAGGTTAACTTGTTTTTATTTTGGTTCTTGTTTGGTGAAAACAACCTGCCAAGAATTAAATCTGACCGTGTTTATAAATGTAACAGGTACAGTTGTGAAAAGCAAACGAGGGAAGGTGTTGGCTGATCTAGCACAACCTGGCGATGAAGTTCTTGTTGCTAGGGGAGGACAGGGAGGGGTAATACACATTCAAAATTCTATTCAAATCTGTTAATGTTGTGATTGAGTCATGAATAATTTAATTCATTAAAGACTAACAAATTGTTTAGTGGATAAGTTGTAATCTTTCAGAATGATGATAAAATGAATAATTAGACAGTCAGAATTCATATATGCATATAGACCATTTTGGCACAACAGTAGGATTGTTGCCTTATGACGTTAAAGTTGTCATGGGTTTAAATTTAGGAATTGGCCTCTTTGGTTGTAGGAGTAAGGATGCATGCATCTACCCAGCGCAGACTTCATTAGGTTGGAGCTATGAACACTGGGCTTCCCTTCTCATACATTGATTCATGACATATACCAATCTCTAGTTTTTTTGTTCTTTACACCTGAATCTCATTTTTTTTTTGGCATCTCCAGATTAGCTTGTTGGAAATGCCACAGCGTCAAAGAAAAAAGATGATGGCTCTGACAACTAATGTGATGAGAGATGACTCGGACAAGGTAAAGTTTATCAATATTTAAGCGTGCGATGGAATATTTCTCAGTGTCATCCTTAGAAAGATATCATTAGTAAACTCTTATGGTTACAATCTTCTCTGTGCAAATTGAAAATCTTATACAAGGTTAACGGGTGTCTCAGTTAATCAAGGTTTATTTGAATTTTGCAATACATAATGAGTGACCAGTTATTTTGTCCAAGATGCATACTTATTTTTCACTATTTTTGTCATGGGTTTACTAATATTATGATTTTAATTGTCAATTTAATCTGCTCAAGTCTGGAAACAGTAGACTAGTAGTATTTGAAATTTCTGCATTAGCAACTTGTGTTCCTATCTCAGTGTAAGATATAACATCATTATTTAATTCTTTATAGATTTTAGTTCACGGTCAACCTGGAGAGGAAGTTAAGTTGGAGTTGATCCTAAGAGTTGTAGCCGACGTTGGTCTGATTGTAAGTTTCGTATCTATGCATAATACCCTGTTTATTTAGTAATATGTTGTCTTACTTTTATTTTATAACTGCAAGCTTGATATCGGTGAATTTTTAGTTTTTTTTTTCTCTGTATCAAGGAAGATAATTGTATCATTGTTGGGAACTAAAATACCATGACGTGGAGTTTGTGAAAGATGACAAGCAGAGGTGTAATAAACCTGAAGTGTTTTTTTTTCTTTTGTATCAAATCATTTCTTTGTTTGGTGAACAAAGGTCAACGGTATATTGGTTGGTTCTTACTTTTTGTCCTCCAGGTGTTTTCTTCACTCTTTCTTCTCATGATCAAGTTAATCTTATTTTAGGGACTTCCAAATGCTGGGAAATCAACACTTCTGGCAGCCATTACACTTGCTAAACCTGATATTGCTGATTACCCTTTTACAACATTAATGCCAAATCTTGGACGCCTAGGTGGTGATCCCAGCTTGGGGGCAGGAATGTATTCATCAGAAGCTACGTTGGCAGATTTGCCTGGTCTTATTGAAGGCGCTCACTTAGGAAAGGTATAAAATACTTTTATTCTTATCAAGTGTCCCCATTTTAAACCATCGAGATGCTAAATAGGACGGTTTTGTCTTTCACTTTCAGGGTCTTGGTCGTAATTTTTTGAGGCACCTCAGAAGGACCCGGCTTTTGGTCCATGTTGTTGATGCTGCCACTGAGAGTCCTGTAAATGACTACAGAACGGTCAGAGAAGTATGTATTTACACTACAATTGGATATATTTTTTTATTCATTCAGGCTAAGCGTTTTTTATTGATTAAACAGCTTGAGACCATTTGGTCAGACCAGTTGTTCTAGTTGTAAAGAGCTTCCTTAGTTCTCTGTTTTTAAATCCTGCTCATGCTTACCGTTGCAATTCGTCTGTGTTGCAGGAGTTGCGCATGTATAATCCTGCTTACCTTGAGAGACCGTATGTTGTAGTTTTGAATAAGATTGACCTACCAGAGGTACGTAGTATCGAAGCCAATATGTGGGTTAAGTGTTATCTTTTAATTTCCTTTTTTTCTTGAAAACGGATGGCCACTGCATCATCTGGTCCGTTATTGTATTGTTTAGGGACGGTCATGTATATTCATGAAATATGCAAAATTCTGTCACATAACAAGCATTTTCATCTAATTATAATCTTAGGCAAAGGACATACTTCCATCGTTGATTCAAGAAATCATGAGAATTGGCAACCGTGATGCTCAATTGTCTGATGAAACTGACACGAAGGAGAAAAAACTTGAGGACTATCCTAAACCTCTCTCTGTTGTTGGAGTCAGTGTTCTGTAAGTGCTCAAGAGTTTGTTTTATATTTTCGTTTTAAAGTATTTTTCTGTTTGACAATTTGTTCAATATTTTCTTTTTGAAAGTGTTTTTCTGTCGAATTTTTTACATTTTCTTTTTGAAAGTGTTTTTCCTGCTGATGTTTATATTTTCTTTTTGAGAGTGTTCTTGTTCTTCACACACATATAGTGATTGCTTAGACAATGTCTTTATTCTATCATAATAATGATACATTACACAATCTCTTTATTATATTAGAGTTCTAATACGTGGACTTTGGTCAAAAGGAATCAGCCTTCGAAAAGTGCTTGACAGTTTATTTTGTAATTTTATATTTGCTTCTAAAGTGTTTTTTTCTGCTTGACTACCTGTTTTATATTTTTTTAAAAGTGTTTTTCTTCACTTCGTTTAGTTATTGTTTAAACAGTCTCTTTATCATATTATAATTCTATACATTGACTTTGGTCAAAATTTGTTGTTGCTTGCAGAAAGGGCATCCAGATTAATGAGATGTTAAAGGAGATAAGGTTTGCTTTAAAGAAATGCTCGGGTTCAAGTGAAACATTGATTTCTACTTGAGAATAGCTTATTATATGTTTTTGTTAAGCAATACTGAATTGCAGTTCATCAAGTCTTTTTGCTATAGTTCTGGTATTAATTTGAATTTATCAGAGAACAAAGTTTTGAAGATTATTACCAGTTCCCAACAGAGGAATACGTGTAAGATGATGAAAGCATTGAGTATAACAGTTCAAGTTAATCTGTCTGATATTGTTGTAAGCATCAAGATTGACATGAAAAAGTTCATTTTGTTGTAAGCATCAGAATTGACATGAAAGTTTATAAAATTGTAAGCAGCAGAATTGACAAATTGAAAACGGGAGTTTATATTTTTTAAGCATGAAGAGTGGCAATTCCTCATGAAAGTTATATAATATTTAGTACAAATGTAAACAAAATTATGCAATATTTATATTCTGTATTGCGACAAGAATCATGTCTGTCATTCCCATGCTGCATAATAAATACATCATAAGACAACAAATAGCACAATAAATATTTATCAAAGACTATGTCATCTCCTATGGAAGTATTTGTGCACGCGTTCTTATTTGCATCTTCTATATAAATTGCTAGTTCAAACAAAATAAATCATGTGTCTGCGTGTCTAAATAACGTGTTTCTATGAAACAGACACCTATAAGCAAAATCATGTTTACCAACAATCTCACCTTGTGTTGAAAGCTTGGAATATAGTATAACAAACAGCACATATACGACATATATGTAAATATATATTGTACATGATACCCAATGTGAAAAGCAAACAAATCAAAAGTTAAGAGATAAACATGATGCCCAAGAATCATGGTTTTGAAAACTTCAAATTAGACAAAAAAAATAAATAAAAAATGAAGGTGTACTTGCAAATTGTCCTTGTGATACCTCTGTCGTACACAGAGGAATACAAGTAAAAAGTAATATAATATATCTAATTTATTTCGTGTCAGTTTCTCAATCCAGAGATGTTACTTTAGATGCTAATAAAGTGCACTCTTGAAGTGAATATTTTCAGCTTTAAACAATACAACCTTTCTATACTATTTTTTATCTTAATTTATCAGTATTGATAAGTGCATTTAAAGAGTGATCTGCACAGTTCTTTTATATTTCCTTACCCGAGCTGGAAGGAACCACTTCTTTCTAAGTTATTACAAAAGAAAAACTAACAGATAAATAACTAGTGAGTATGTGTGAATGCAAAATGTCTATCCATTTTGGTAGACTGACATGCTCAGCAGCACTTTGTTCAGTCATTGACTCTAGTTGAAGTTCTTTTAATGTGCACTGATTACAACTCTAAACTTTGAAACTACTAGGATCAGTTACTTTGGCTTTGTAATTATTGCGATTTTACGGATTAAATTTTCATTCCTGAGTCATAGTAATCTTGAACCGTTTCTTCCAAATGTCACATGACAAAACAGCATCTGATTGACAACATACACCAAGAGAAACCGCAACCCTCCTCTCACAGCTTTTAATTTCTTCTCTTATCTTTCATTTTTTATGTTGTGCATTCATGGCCTCATTTATTTCACTAACTAAATAAAAGGAAATCCAAATAAGAGTTTGCTCTCGAATCTTCTCTACCTGAGTTTGTATACAAACAAAAACCTGAGCCAAGTGTGTTCAAGAGAAGCCGACAGTGAGACTCAAGGTTGACACGATGATCCAAGTTCATCATGCCAAGTAGCTACTAAACTCCACTAATGGCCACGTTTTAAATACTTGGGTTAATTATTAATTCTCAACACTTCTTATCTGAGTATAAATACCCTCATCACCTCCCTTTTTCTCACACCATACCAACCCTTCTCTCCTTGGTAACTCCCCTAGCACAATGCTGACATCAGGCATGAGAATGAATGCTAGTAAGCAGGTGAAAAAATCTGCAAAAGCGAGTTCCAGAAAGGGGTGTATGAGAGGCAAAGGAGGCCCTGAGAATGCCAGTTGCACCTTCAAAGGTGTGAGGCAGAGAACTTGGGGAAAATGGGTGGCTGAGATCCGTGAGCCTAACCGTGGTGCACGCCTCTGGCTTGGCACATATGAGACCTCTGTAGAGGCTGCCATGGCTTATGATTGTGCAGCACGTAAGCTCTACGGATCTGATGCAAAACTCAACCTCCCAGACCTTGCTATGGCCTTGGCCTTTAATTTCCAGTTTCCACCACCAAGCCCTCAGATCCCTCACATGCAACCATCACCACAGCTTCAACACTCTCAGATTCCCTCTCCCTATGACATTTTCAATCTCCCCTCCTTTGATTTCATCAACAACCTCACCGATGACACCAACATCATGTTCAACCCTGTGCTCTCCATGCCTCCTCAACATGCAATTGCTGATTCTGCGCCAGTGTACGCCAGCGACTCTCATGTCGCAATTCCCTATGAAAACACCACCATCCCCATGGCGATTCACCCCTCCAACCCCTTGGAGATCAACGAGGACACTGTTGATCCTTTTGGGGGGTCTTTCAATGACATTCCTGACCCTATGTTTGATGATTCCATCTGGGCTGAAGCTGCTAGGTCTCTTGATTTCCCTCTGATACCAGATGCTGCAGGAATTAATGAAGTTGAAACCTTTCTTGAAGTGGGTCCTTGGGACTCTCTGCAAACTCCCTGATGCATGCAATCGTCCTCAAAAGGAACTCCTAAGCCCTTATGATACAGAAGTAGTAGTAGTTAATAAAAGGTCATCTCAGACGATGAATACCTTGCATCACCAGAAGTTACAGTGTTATGTGAATATATAAGTGATGTATCAATTCTGTTAGGGTGTGGAGTACATAGGATTAAGGTTATATAGATATGAATGGTGTCTGTCTTATATTTGAAGTTTATGTCTCAAAAAGGCTGCTCCAGGATGTCAAGTTAACTTTATTAGCATGACAGAGATATCTGTATTATTTTATCAGCAGCAATATATTGTCTTATGTTTGAAGTTTATGTCTTAAAAAGGCTGCTACAGGATGTCAAGTTAACTTTATTAGCATGACAGAGATATCTGTATTATTTTATCAGCAGCAATATATTGGGATCCGTTTCTATAAGAATTATATTATATATATTATTATATTATTGGTATAATGTTATAACTTTATCTTAAACTGAAACTTTGCTTTAGTATTTTCATAGCTCGAATCTGTGTTAGAATTTTTTCTCTTTAACAAGCTCGAATCTGTGTTAAAAGTTTCTCTCCTTAACATAGCTGTCTTTAGGGTTATTACCATTCTTCATCTGTATCATACTTTGTACCTATTTACTATTATCTACTTTAGATTTATTTACTGTTATCTACTTTAGATTCTTGTTGGATTCTTGTGGGACTTAGGATATTGCCTTAAGACTATCTTATTGGGTTTTTGTCTTGTTTGACGTTAGGTTCTATTATTGTCTGAACATATTTAGGGTTATTGTCTTCTTGTCGAGCTTATGGATCTTCAATTTTTGTCATGGAGCAGATTAAGGGTTCTTCTTACTTGTGGGGCTTGTCTAAGGGTTCTTGGTGGGGCTTGTCTAAGGGTTCTTCTATACTTGTCGAGGTTTGTTTTAGGGTTCTTTTATACTTGTCGGGTTTGGCTTAGGGTTTTTTTTGTCGGGAGCAGGTTCTTGTCTTCTTGCCTTAGGGTTCTTGCCGTCTATTAGGGTTTTTATTTTTGTCGGACTTATGTTCCTGCCTTCTTGCCTTAGGTTCTTGCCTTATCCATATCGTGTTCTTCAAATTTTAGAGTAGAGTCGCAGATCTTTATAATTTTAGAGTAGAGTTGCATATCTTTATAAGTTCTTTTAATTCTTTTAGAAAGTGGCAGTGCCAATACAGTTATTTGTTTTGTATTGAAACTTTACTTCAAATATTGAGTTAAGTTTTCTTGTAACTTTTCTCAATCAAATTTTTTTTCATATAATTATAAGAGTTTTAATAAAAATAAATTTTATCTTCAAGATATTTATTATAATATATTTTATGGAATACATAATATTACATAATTCTTGTCATCTATATTTATATGAATAAATAATATTGTATAACTTTTTTTTATCAGTAGTATGTAGTATATGAATATTTTGACAAAATAGACAGTTGTATGTAAATATTTTGATAAAGTACATAACTATTTGGTAAATAATACAACCGTACCTTATATGTTATATCATGTAAGTAAAAATGTTAGTACAATAATATTTTAGTGAAATAATATTATGAGTAATAGCTAACATACATAAATACTATTTAATGTAATATGTAAATATTTAAACATTTTAATAGATTAATATGTAAATATTTGATTAAAATAATATTGCTATTCGTGCTCTCAGAACAATAAAATAATATTACTGCATGTGTCATGTAAATACAACATATCAGTGGTGAATAAATATCTAGTAGTAATATTAAAGAAAAATATTGAAATAACAACTACTAATAATAACAGTTATCAATAATTATTATTAGTTGTGAATATTAATATAGCATTTTATTTACTATATAGAATGAGATGCAATAATGAGTTTATTTGATGTGCTATAACATCTAAGTCTAATTTTATATTATTTACATTTTTTTTTTCAAAGTCTTAAAAATGTAAAGATACTTCATGTTAAGCTTATGCTTAATTTAATGTACAAGGTGAAGTTTAAATTTATATATTGTAAAGTTGATACAATAAAAAGCTTTAGTTATTGCACTTCTGATTTAAGTTAAAATCTAAATTGAGTTGGATGTGTAACTTTAAAAGAATTATATATATCTTTCTGTTTATTATTATTTTAATATATTAATTTAATAATAAAATCATTTTTAACATATATTTTAAGAAGATGAAATATAACTCTTAAAGTAATAGTTATTTAAATAATTTGATTGACATGTTGTGAAAGTAATTATTTTTACTTGTAATTTGAGTTTAGTTTCTGGAGTATATATGAACATTATTGTTATTGTCCTTTTGTTAAATGTAAAGCATATATATATATATATATATATATATATATATATATATATGAAATTTGAGATATTTTTTCAATTATAAAATGATATCGATAATTACATGACTTTGAATATGTTTAGACTAAGATTTTAACAAGTTTTTTTTTCAAACATGCTTTACTTATTTTAAATATCCCCATGTTTATGTTTATATTGCAACAACATGTTTATACGTGACATTAAAAAAATCTTTAAAAAATATAATTAGAACCTTCACTGCAAAAACATGTAATTTTAGTAAAAGTTTATTAGTTGGGGTTATAATCCAAGTGTTCATAAAAAAATCACATTCTTATATTGTTGTATTGTTTTAAAGTATTTACTTGGGTATATTTTAATTGATATAAATATGTTTTCAATTTTCAAAAATAATAAATATTTTCCAGTCTCACAAATAAAATATATATATTTTGTAAGAACTTATAAATTTGAGTATTAGAATTGATAAATACTTTTAAAAATCAAGTATTTTATTTTTAAAATAATTTAATAATGTAAATAAAATATTTTAAACTCGTCACATTACTTAAAACATAAACTCTCTCTAAAAATTCATTTTTTAAGTTTCTCTACCTTCTCTTTCTAAGGTATATGACTCTTAATAATCTGTTTGACGATCAGAAAGTGTCTAAGAAGTGTGAGGTATGTTCATTTTTTCTTGTTTTTTTGTTCCTAAAATCTCTATCTTAGGGGTAACGCATGTGTCGCCCACCTTTCTTTTCTTGTTCCTTATTGATCAGTGATCCTAAGGTCTTAATTTGATTTCAATTTCACGGTTTGTAAGCATTTTTAGGATTCCTTGAGTCTAAAGTAAGGGTTTCGACGTTTATAGAGCTTAGTAGCTTCAGTATAAGGTAAGAGAAGCTATTGTTTCTCTTTAAATTGGATTATAACGTATGAAATTGTGATTTTTGGTGTGTATGTTATTGTATACGGTTGGCCATGTCTAAAATGCTCGTTTTGGTGTTAATTGTGTTTGATTGAGGATAATGAATGGTATGATGCTTGATTCTTTGTGTCAATTCTGTGTAAACTTGGAGTAACCTTGTGAATGCGGTTGGTATGATTGTATTGTGTTAATTTTGGTTGAAACGTTAAGAGGAAAGGTGTAGTAGAGTAATAGGTCAGTTTTGGTCTAAAATAGAGGTTTGAGAGGTAATTTTCTTAAATATTGGTCTAAGGTAAGAATTTGTGGTTTATGACAGTTAATTTGGTCATTTGTAACTTGTTTGAGATGATAATTAATTGATATGTGTTTAAGAATGAAGCGGTAGTCATTTTGGCATGTTTGCAAAGTTGTTTAAGTGTATTTTAGGGATTTGGAGTAGTGAATTTTAAAATCATGAAGATTGAGGTAAAATGGAGTGTTTGAGGTATGTTTTTAGGTCATTTGTGACTTGGTCAAATTCCTAAATGGCTGAGTTATGGATTAAAAGTGGTAGATTTGAGTTATGGTCTATTGGTTGAGGTTTTAATTGGTTTAAGTTACAATTTTTTTACAAAATAAGTTTAGAACTGATTATAGTTGAATTATATATGCTTAGATAGGTCAGTTGTTGCTTATATTATCAAATGGAAGTGATTGAAATTGGTAAAAGTACCTAAAAGAGGTCAAGTGATGTTGAGAGGGTGCTTTTGGTGAAGTTTTGAAGATTATGCAGAGTCGTTGGACGAGCAAATGACTTGCTAGTCGAATAGGAAAGTGTTTTTCTAGAGAGTTTTAGGCTAGACGAGTGTATACTCACTGGGTGAGCGAGTAGCTCGTTTGGCGAGTAGTTAGGAATCAATGAGTTCTTAAGTTTTCTTGTAACTTTTCTCAATTAATTTTTTTCCATACAATTACCAGAGTTTTAATAATAAATTTTATCTTGACCTAAAAAATGTCAAAATGTTTATAATATATTAAATGGAATACATATATTACATAATTCTTGTCATCCGATGCAGAGAACATTCCATGAATGTCTTCTTTGTCTCTAACATCCACTTCTTATATATTTTGAATAAAGGAGGTGGATGCATGTATTATTTTATCTCCATAAAATAAAGTAGATATGCATGCAAGAGATATGTCTTTTCTCTTATCATTTTTGTTGTATTTGAAAGTTAGCATTTAATGACATTTAATGCGTGTTTAGAACAACAAAGTTCTTTTTACATTTTCTACAACATTTTATCATTTAAGCTTTTCTATAAAGATACCAGTCGTTGATTAAGAACTTCATCGTTGGATAAAATAGGAGGTTTAGCCCATGGTGTCGTCTAGTCTATTATAAACACTTTAATATTATGCTTCCTTCAGCTAGATCGTTTTAGCAAGTTTGTCCTCTATAAGTGTTTGGAATATTGATCGAGACTTTTAAAGGGCTTTTACCTAAAACATTGTCTTGACACTATTACATTCTTTTTGAGAGTTTGATTGATTACCATTTGGAACAATATAACTTTTGCTTTTAGCACAACTCTCATAGGCACTTTAACTTTGGGAATCGTTTAGTATAATGTCTCGTTTAGGCATGAGTGTTTTTCTAAGGCTTTCCTATGTTACTAGGTATTTAGAGATTTTGAGCTTAACATTTAAGTTTTTGTTATCCTAATAATTTAGTGATGACATTTTTATATTCTCTTTTTGTTTAATGTTGTTTTGTTAAACTTCAAAACATATGAGAGTGTTTATACTTATTAGTCTTATAGATGATTTTGTCTTAATAATCTCTTTTTTTATGTTTAAAAAATACATCTAAACGATATGATTTTTTTTAGTTCAACACAGAGGTGCAATTATGAATCGTTTAAAGTTTTTAGTTGTTTAATCATTTTGCGAATTTATATTTCTTATTGTTTTGTCTAATGCATGC